GACTCGAGGGGAAATACTAAATGCAGAGTGTCAGCAAATATTTCCAGGCGTACCATGGAGTAGTCTCTGATGTTGAGCAATGTTAAATCTGTACCGCGTCAGGTCTGGTATCCATTTTTCCAGATCATTGAAACTTATCTTATCTACCATGATGGACAGCACTTATCGCCTTCAGGACCATTGATTTGCATTCTCATAACACTCTCAAAGAGCTTCAAACAAAGTGTAGTCAAGACTATCATCCACGCCTTTAACTTTTGATCTAGCTATACAATCAAGTACTTAATCAGACTGTCCGAGGGTAGTTCATCGAGGCAAGTGGTGATCATACGCTGTTCCATCAGTCTCGCGTTTTTTCTAGACTTAACTGGACTCTGATCATCGATATCATCAAATGCAGAAAGCTTGAACTTCTTTTTTCCATTCTTCTGAATCCCGACTCTCCATCTTCTTTACGGCGCATCTTTAGCTTTCTATCTTCTGTGTAAACCTGGTACTCAACAAGAGGAGCAGCATCTTGCAATCTATCTCCCCCTAAACCTCGCACTAACTCTGGTAAACGCACCTTCGCCTACTCAGTCGCTACTCTTTTCAATGGTCTTGAGACGCATCTCAAGCAACTTGCTTTCTCCTCTATACTACCTATCTCGCTCAACACGGTCCTCACTTCTATCAAGCGCAAACTCCGCCTATTTTTCACCAACAAGCTCTCACGCATATTGCATTTAGAGGATTTTTTTTTTGTCATTATTGCCGTTTTTACTAGATTGTAATTGCTATTCAAACTGATCCGTGTTTTTATGAATGTCATTATATTTTTTGTATGTATATGAATTATATTAAAATCTGTAATGTAAAATAAATTTTAATTGTAAAATGTACTGTGTATATGTGAGGGCCATATGTTAGAAAACTTGTGTAAGTTAATATGTTACCCACGTTAAATAAAGACGTATGTATGTATGTCTACGGGATCCTTTATTGTTAAAGTAACGCTTATATTAGTGCGCTTCGAGGCTTCATTCCACGGAGTAGAAAGTGCGTTTCGAATGGGACTGACATCTCTTGATTCTAAATACATATTCAGTTTGTCTTTTGGTGACGACAAACTAACAACCAGAGACACGTCTACATACAATGCATAATCTGTAATGTTTTCAAAGCAAAGCTATTAAAACATGAAAAATAGAACTGAAATATAACTGAAGAACACAGGGCGTCTCAGTCTTCAATCGGGAACCACATTAAGGAGCGGCATGGGCATATCCCAAGTGACTTGCATTACAGCTTCAAAACTCTGAAGAAGTGCAAAAGTAAACTGGACTGCCTAATTTACGAGATGCTTTTTATAAAAGAAATTAAGCTAAGCCTGAACAAACAGTCAGACTCAATCCGCGCAAAGCTATTTTTATAATAATTTATGGTATTTTCTTATAATTTATCATTTTACTTTCGTCAACTCTCATTAATTTATTCCTTTTGTCTCTTTTGCAATTTTATCACTTCTATTTTACGCCTAGCGTCTACATATTTCCATATTTTATCGCCTTTATCATTCCCACGTCTTGAATTTAGTACATATATGTAAAAATTTTCCTTTTCATCAGCTTCAAAATGACCTCAGCGAGGTCGAAACGTCGTTCAAAATTATTATCACTAATTTTTATCTTGAAAAGAATTAGAACATAACTAAATGATAAACGACTTATTAAATTAGTTTTTTTTTGAAATTGTCCTATGACTAATGGCAGTACAATCCTCCCCACCTGGCTGATACTAACTGCAGGGCATGTCTACAAGGATGGAGTCTACAGAATGAATACAACTTGGTGACGCAATTGTTAACTGTTGAAAAACTCAAAATTTATTTTCGGCGCGAATGCCATCAGAAGTACAATAATAATAAAACAAGAATTAAACTCGCTCGCAAGTAAATAGAATAGTTACCTTAACCAACCGGAATAAGGTACCCTGTTTCGTGGAAGATTAACGGAGAATCCTCTTCCCTTCACCCTCTGTCTGCCTTGGGAAGCTTCTTCGCTTTATGCTTGGAAATATTTGCAAGCACTCTGCATTTAGTATTTTCCCCTCGAGTCCATCCAGGACCAAATCCTTAGCGATAAAGCGGGCATATTGTCCATGTACCAACATTGTTGGTTTGTTGGAAAATAGCTGCTCTACTTAATATCAAGTCACCCAGTGAACACACCAGTGAATGAAAAATGCTGAATGCCCTGCTATTTCCTCGTCACACGACATTAAAGGCACTATTCGCCCATCCCTTTTCTGTCTTTTGGATTGTAGCCATAATCATCCACAACAAGAGAATCAAATAAAAAACGAACTTCCATTCTTTAAATTATTTAAACTCGGTTGTTTACTTGTCGAACACCAAGTTTATCAGATGAAATTAACCGTGACGTACGTTTTATTGCTAATTGCCTATAAGTAGTAACAAGTACAAAAAAAATTAGTTTTTATCTGAACACAAAACCTTTCATTCCTCCTCTTTGGATTTCCTTTAACAGATTTCCTGCAAGTTTTCCATTTAAGAAGTTTAAAACCCCTTGAGTAAGACGAATATAGATCTAACAATTGCGGGAAACATAAGTCACGCAGTGACAACCATATCTACTCGTATCTACAAAATTAATGCTTTCGGAGAGAACAAAAGCAACTTCTATCGTATTGCAAGTACTTTGAAGACGATATTTATATCATTCAAGCATTCATTATTACCACTGACTACAAATGATAGGTCAGCTTTTGACTACAAACGATAATTCAGCTTTTGGCTGCGATTTTAATCAGAATAAACTATCTATCTATCTAATCTATCTATCTAATCTATCTATCTAATCCATCTATCTATCTCTATCCGTGCAGCGCGAATAATAACTGGTGCTTCCTGTTTGCAAAGATCTAGTGATGTTCTTTGTAAATTAGGCTGGATGACATTAAAAGCAATGAGAAAACGCCAAAAAGCCATTTTTATGTTTAAAATACTGAATGGTCTCACCCCTCCCCCCCCCGTACTTGTCTGAAATGTTTGCCCATGGCGCCTTTCTCATGATTATGGACTGCGATCTTCCAGAATGAATCTTGCGCTCCCTAAAAGTCGCACAGATTTTTACCGAAACAGTTTTGCATTAACCGGAGCAAGAATCTGGAATAATTTGCCAAACAGTTTAAAGGAAGAAACTTCGCTAAAAAAGTTTATGGGTAAGCTAGACTATTACTATCAGCACCAGCAAAACTAGTTCTAGAGCATTAAGCTTTCCAATAATAAATATATAACTTGTATTGCGTACGGATTTTATGTAAACCAAATTTTAATTTTCGCTGTATATTTTAATTTGATAAAATGGCATATTTAAATAAAGGGTTCCATCCATCCATCTATCTATCTATCTGTCGGTCGGTCGGTCTGTCTGTCGGTCTGTCTGTCGGTCTGTCTGTCGGTCGGTCGGTTGGTCTGTCTATCGGTCTGTCTGTCTGTATAATCAAAGTCGGTCTTTTCTTTTGTATGTCGCCGACTTTGCTGAAGAGGGAAATTTCTATGAATTTAAAGCCCTCGTATGCATAGCAGCTCAAAAACCCCAGAAAAACAACTCTACAAACAGTAAGTTTAACATTTTTACTTCTCGTATTTCAAATATTAAACGTTTATTTCACTTAGCACATATAAAATAACCTTTTAAAGGTACCCTACTTTTCATACGGCACTTAGGTAAATAGATAGAAAAATCCGTATTTTATTTCAAATATAAATAGTGATTCTACTTTTTTGTGAAAACATAGGGGAGACATTGTTCTAAAAATCTGTGGAATGAGTAAGTTTTTCCATTGCTTTTACAAGTTCAAACGAGGCCTCCAAAAATGGGCTAAATTGGACTTTCGAATGACGCTAATTATGCGTAAATTGACTTTTATCAATTTTCTCGAAAACAAAAGAAATTTTCAATAAACTATATATGTCTTGGTTTGTTTTACCTGTAGGCCTACCCAATACTAGAATATGAGCCAACTCGATTTTTTGACTGTTGCCTGTGAATGTTTGATTTTTCATGGCAACCTCTCTTAACACAAAAGTATGCAAGCAAATTCACACACAGTGGTTACACGTCAATTCGTGAGACACTATCATCCTTTGTTTTTCCTTTCCAATAACAATCATAGATGTAGTCTTGGCCTCACAACTGCGCAGAAACTTTGTCTTAGTGTTATAGTGCTGAGCAAACATATTTCAAGAAGACCTAAGTCGAGATATATTTGGGCCTGATAGCGCGCTCAGTAGTGGCACTCTGTTGCTATTCTTAAACACGAAGGCGCGCTATATAAGGAAGTCTTCCCTGGGAAGATCTAGGCTCATTGGTCACTCACCGTTGACGTGTGCGGGTCAAATTTAAATGCTGTTAGACGAACAAAAGGAGCCAATGAGATATCTATTGTTTACTTCCACCAGCATGGTGGCATGATGTAACATGCGAACCACCTACTTCGATCTCAAATTTACCGCCACAAATAAAGACAGTTTCCATTGGAGAAAGGACATACAAACCTCCAAAATTCTTTAATTGTGATGAAGACATAAAACAATTTTGAGGAGTGCGCCCGCTGTTCACTGCTTTGGAGTAGCTGTAGCTCAAGCTGACTTGACTTCAAGAGTTCTACATCACCCGACGGTTGATTGACAAATGGTCCAGTGGGACCTAAGGCTTCTTTTATAGCGCGCCTTCGGGTTTAACAACTTTTTCAAAGAATAGAAAAGAAGAATCAGAGTTATTTTTCGAGAACACGATTAACAACCACTCGCACGAACTACTCATGAATCTCGTGATTATCATCAGCATTTTTAAAAATGCTGTACTAACAATATTAAGATCTTATTCGTGCCATAAAAGTACGAAATGAATTTCCGTTCGCACGATGTCCCATGCTTAAAACATGTTCAGTTGAAGTAATATGGCTTTGTGCTTTTTTTCGATTGTAGTGGATGTAGATGAATACCTTTATGGTATGCTTCAGCAAACGATAACTCAGGGGGCAGGAAAAACAGCAATTCCGGAATCAAAAGAGGTAGTTTTTTAACTGCACACATGGCACTCCGGACTCTTCTGAATTCACACTTTTGAGTCTCGAAACTGACTGATAAGCTAATTTGTACCAAAAAGAAATGTTCATCTTAAAACTGTACTTGCGTGACTGTACCAAAGCCATGGAATGCTATATTCTTTACATTTAAGGTTTGAAGTCCTTTACTGCCTGGTACGTGTAAGGTGACTCAGTCTATATTTAAAGTGGTTCTATAGTGACCCAAAGCCTACTTTGACAGGTCATGATTTTTTACTGGACGTTTTTAAAAAAAATGTCCTCTAGGCATGGTAATTTATGAAGCAATGATGAACTTCGCTCATTTCAAAATTGCCTTTCTATTCCGCCTAGGATGAAAATCTCTACACGATCTGCAACCCTAGCACCGAAGAAGCAAAGGTTAGTCCAACACTAAAATATTCAAACGTTCTTGGTCTATCTCGTTTGGGTGTATTGGACAACCCTCGGCTCGGAGGTAAATAGTAAAGCTTTTTCGGAGTTTAGGTACCCAATCAGTGCCCACCTTCAACGCTATCCACTGTTTTAGTATATACTAATTAACAACTATTCACCTCAGTGTCGGTGGTTAGCGGTAGATATTTACCTCGCCGCTTCGCGGCTCGTTAAATATCCACCGCTAACCACCTCCACTACGGTGAATAGTTATTTTAGTGTATACTAAAACAGTGAGATAATATACTGCTTCGTCGTTAATTTTGAGCGATTTCTTCGCTTGTCACGGATACCAACCGGGACGCCATTTTTTCCCGAGTTGCTCGAAGGTAAATAGCAAAGGATATTCGGAGTTTGACTAGCAAATCAGTGCGCGCCTTCAACGCTATCCACTGTTTAAGTATATACTAACAAAGGATATACCCAGGTGTATGATTGATGGATTATAACATGTCTGTGGAGTATGGATGGCAGTGGCCAAACTCGAATTTTGTGGCACCTTTGAAAGCAATGTTTAATTTTGGAATCTAAAACGAAGCTAAACAAGGTCACTGCTATAATTGCGGGAATTATCGCTGTAGTAAACCTGGAGCGTATTTAAACTCCCCAAGATCTGATTATTAAATAGGTGTTTTTGACCAGGCGTGCGGTCAAGATGACTGGATATTGGTCGAGATTGAGGCTAATATCCAGCCATCTTGACCAAACAAGGCTGGTCAACAAAGGGGTTAGTACACTGCAAAAATATTTTGCTTTGATAAGAATCAATAATTTCTTTGCTTATTTCGAGAGCCACAAAAACAACCGTGTTTTGTAGCACAATAAACCCAAGAGGTTTACTTAATTTTTTCTTTGCTTTGACTCTTTTCTACCACTTTTTGCGACATTGTCCAAACAATACGAACTCTGTAAGTCTGCTTCACGCACTGTTTTCTCAGGCGGGATTATTACGGGCAATCCCGAGCGAGCATGATAGGCCCTTTCCCGGAATTCTCCGGCTACGGAGACAATATCCAAGGAAGGTCACAGGTGTAGTCACGGCGCCTCACCTTCGGTTACAATTTCACGCGCCTTTGTATAGTGTTTTCCATTTTCAGTTGTTCCGTGTATATTTGTTGTTATCAGGTTCGCCAGTCATTTTAGTCGTGTCACATTTCATATTTTCGTGTTCATTTCTTACGCATTGTTTTTATTGTTTAGTATAGCTTCTTCTGCCGTAGTTTTCTTTTCGCCGTTGTCATTACGTTTTAGTCGTCGTAGTCGCCACATAATCTTGTAAGTTTCGTTATTTTGTCCGTCATTTTCCCTGTTTTATTTGTACTTCGTTTTGCTTTCCTGTTCTGTATATTTAACTTGTTTATGTACATTGGCTTTTAGCGAATCGGTAGTAAAAGTGCGAATTTCGGATTTGTGGATTTCGACTACAACAGGTTCGATTTTATAACTTAAATGAACAGTCACAGGTTTCCCAAGGTATTCGCACGATTACGTTCAAATAGCTTCGAACTGACAATTGATTGAGTGTGTACTTTCCAATAATTGACATATTTCCGTAATCAACGATTACTTAGTAGAGTAATGTGTGCCGCATACCCTGATAGCCCAGCTTGCCCGCTCGGGTAGCCAATCACACCACAGGATTGGCTGAATGTTTCCCGCGCACGCTCCCAGCTATGCGATAATTCTTACTTTCTGCCATTCAATTCTTATGGTCTTAGTACAGAGAACTTGGTATTGGTATTGGATCAACTAATAATCCCTTAGTTGATATTTTCCTTTATTTTCATTACTGGTTAGCCTGATATTGTGTTGCTATTGTCAGGAGAAATTATGTCTTGGTCACTCCTGGAAGTTTAAGGGTTGATTTGATCTCCCTTGGGTTAAAGCAACTCGTCAACACTAAGTTTCAACAGTTTACTGTGCTTGTCTTATAATACAGTAAACCTAAGTGAGAAAGCCATGATTCAAGCAGCCTAAGTTCTCCCCAGCCACTGACCTTATTTGCATTCTATTTTAATTAGTCTTTGCGCTGCGTCCGTTACAGCGTAGTCTTGTAGGAGGTGAAACCTCCATGAAGCAGATTTCATCCCTTGAGAGTCTCGGGCTTTTCTCTGCTTTCCGTTTTTTTTTGTCAAAGAAAGATTGACCCATTTTGGACATACACTTCTATTCAGGGTGTCAAGCTCACGATACTATCAGTTCATATTGTGTCATACTCCCAAAGTTCATTTTTCAGTCTCCTATTTGCTTTGAACGAATATAAGGTTGATAAATTAGACCATATATAAATTCCCCTGATCCACACTGTATTGGCTAACCTTGAAAGAACAATTCAGTAATTCAGACTTAAACGAAATTTTATTTACTCTTACCAGCAAGCTGAAGTAGATGTGCGCGAAGCTCAACTAAAAAAAGACGTTTCTTCCTTCTGCGTCCTCCCACTTAAACCTCCACACGAAGTTGCAGATCGTGTTTTGAGGTGGCTGAAATTGTAAAACAGTTGAAAGGGCTCAAGGAGGCTAACAAGAACAGATTGAGTTACTTGTACATTTCAGGAAACCAAGGAAGTGGCAAATCTCAGCTAGCCCGCCTCGTAGCGAAAAGAATCTTCGATCAAGTTAATAAAATCCCACATTCTACATTCTTTGTGATGACAGTGAATGCTGAAAGCTCAACCACTCTTCTAGAATCGTATGTCTCCTTTGCCCTGAAGCTGAAGTGTTCAGAATATGCCATTTCCAACACACTCAACTCTCCCGATTTGAACTCAGACGAGAAGATTGCCCACTTGGAGACTTTAATCGGCACAAAAATCGAGCTTTACACCACTTGGCTTCTAGTTGTTGATAACGTCAAAAGCATCTCTAACATTTATGCTCATTTGCCAAAGTCTGGAGATGAACAGTGGGCGAGGGGTCAGTTGCTGATCACGACACAAGACATCGCGTCTGTTCCGTCAACAAGTTGTTTCATTCATCACGTCTCCGTCAGCAAAGGTATGGAGCTCAAAGATGCGACGTCCCTTATAGAAAAGCTTTCCGGTATCTCAGATTGTGAGACAGTCAAAGTTGCTCAAGTATTGGGTTATCAGCCACTTGCCTTAGCAACTGCCGCAATCTATGTGAGGGAGGCTGATCGGAATAAAGAAAATTTGGGATGGAATAGTTACCTGCAAAAACTTGAGAAAGGCCAAAGAGTTGCAACTGCCAGACGTTTTGTTAAACCGAAGCCAACTTACCCAAAATCCATGAGTGAGGTAGTAGAGAGAGCTGCTGAAGAGGCGATGAAGTCCAGTAACGCTGTAATCAAAGACATCCTTACTTTGCTTTCCTTGTGTGCACCACAACCGTTGAGTCTCGAGATAGTTTTCAATTACATTCGCAACGTAGAGATAGATGTGCAAGATGAAGATGACATTAGGATGAAGATTCAAAGATGCTCTCTGTTGCTATTTGACGAAAATGAGAGTGGTGTGTACATTAGAGTACACCAGGTTACACACGATGCCCTCTGCAATGTTGTTGGGGGATTTACTCAGGAGCGTGAAGGATTAGTCTTGAAAGCGATCGTTAAGTCATTTTTCGAGCTTGTGCTAGATTACAGTCTACATGATCCAGACAACTTGAATTCAGTTGTTAAAGGAACGCGTATCGTTCCTCACTTACAAACGTTGGTGAGAACAATACGACAGAAGTACTCTCAGGAAAATGTATCTGAAGTTGCAGAAAACGATATCTTCCATCCGTCTAGTATGTTGCGCTTTAACACACTTGCTTTAATATGTCTTAAATATCGCGCGTTTTACGCGGCAAGAGAATATTTTAGAATGTCGCTTGCCATTAAAGTAAAAATCCTCGGACCTGCGGATGTTGATGTCGCAAATGAGTACAACAACCCGGGAAATGTTCACCTTGACCTGGGTGAACTGAGTCGGGCAAAAGAGTTTTATCATCTCACACTGGAAACACCCGAACCTGACCATGTCGATGTCGCGAGCACGTACCAAAACCTGGGGAATGTGCGCCACAACCTGGGTGAACTGGGTCGGGCAAAAGCGTTCCATGATTGCGCACTGGCCACTCTTCTGAAAAAAGTCGGACCTGAGCATGTCGATGTCGCAGACACGTACCAAAACCTGGGAAATGTGCACTTTGACCTGGGTGAACTGAGTCACGCCAAAGAGTTTTATGATCGCGCACTGGCCATTCTTCTGAAAAAACTCGAACCTGAGCATGTTGCTTTCGCAAAAACGTACAACAACCTGGGGAATGTGCACCAGAACCTGGGTGAACTGGGTCAGGCAAAAGAGTTTTATGATCACGCACTGGCCATTCGTCTGAAAAAGCTCGGACCTGAGCATGTCGATGTCGCAAGCACGTACCAAAACCTGGGAAATGTGCACTTCGACTTGGGTGAACTGAGTCAGGCAAAAGAATTTTATCATAGAGCACTGGCCATTCTTCTGGAAAAACTCGGACCTGAGCATGTTGCTGTCGCAAGAACATACAACAACCTGGGGAATGTGCACCACAACCTGGGTGAACTGGGTCAGGGAAAAGAGTTACACGATCGCGCACTGGCCATTCGTCTGAAACAGCTCGGACCTGAGCATGTCGATGTCGCAAGCACGTACCAAAACCTGGGAAATGTGCACTTCGACTTGGGTGAACTGAGTCAGGCAAAAGAATTTTATCATAGAGCACTGGCCATTCTTCTGGAAAAACTCGGACCTGAGCCTGTTGCTGTCGCAAAAACATACAACAACCTGGGGAATGTGAACCACAACCTGGGTGAACTGGGTCGGGCAAAAGCGTTCCATGATTGCGCACTGGCCACTCTTCTGAAAAAAGTCGGACCTGAGCATGTCGATGTCGCAGACACGTACCAAAACCTGGGAAATGTGCACTTTGACCTGGGTGAACTGAGTCACGCCAAAGAGTTTTATGATCGCGCACTGGCCATTCTTCTGAAAAAACTCGAACCTGAGCATGTTGCTTTCGCAAAAACGTACAACAACCTGGGGAATGTGCACCAGAACCTGGGTGAACTGGGTCAGGCAAAAGAGTTTTATGATCACGCACTGGCCATTCGTCTGAAAAAGCTCGGACCTGAGCATGTCGATGTCGCAAGCACGTACCAAAACCTGGGAAATGTGCACTTCGACTTGGGTGAACTGAGTCAGGCAAAAGAATTTTATCATAGAGCACTGGCCATTCTTCTGGAAAAACTCGGACCTGAGCATGTTGCTGTCGCAAGAACATACAACAACCTGGGGAATGTGCACCACAACCTGGGTGAACTGGGTCAGGCAAAAGAGTTTTATGATCGCGCACTGGCCATTCTTCTGAAAGAACTCGGACCTGAGCATGTCAATGTGGCAAGCACGTGCCTAAACCTGGGAAAAGTGCACCACAACCTTGGTGAAGTGAGTCAGGCAACAGCGTTATATGATCGCGCACTGGCCATTCTTCTGAAAAAACTCGGACCTGGGCGTGTCGATGTCTCAGATACGTACAAAAAGTTTGTCTATATACCCTTTGGCCTGGATGAACCGATTTCCTCCGAAGAGTTTTATGACTATAAACTGGTCACTCTTCGGAAAATGCTTCACCAGAGCTTGTTTCTCGGGGGTTCACTCGTGGTTTTCAAAAAGTGATTGAGCTCATCCTGGTTTAGTGAATGTAAAACGTTTTAAAAAATCAAAAAACCCTTTGTAGGACTTATTCGAATTAGCAAGTAAGGCTTAGGGTCAATTCGTTTGCCGTATTGGGAACCAGAGTTAGCTTTCTGGTCTGAGATGTGGGAGAAATGCCCATAGTTAAGAGTGATCGAAAAAAAATTCAAAAATCCCCAAGCAAACCTCTGTTTAGTGAGTTGTGAGACAGTTCCGTGACTTGTTGTCCTCGCTTGGGTTTTATGAGGTTTTTAGTGTACACGTATTACGATTCAGATTGTATTATTATTTGAGTGTAAACTATCTACTTTTGAAAAGTTTCTTAGATTGGCCTCTGTTTACTCTAGAAACACACGAAACAGTTGTAGACGTTTAATGTTTCCTTTTGTAAAGTACTCATACGAGTGGGGTTAGTTTATTTTCAGTGTGNTGGGTGAACTGGGTCGGGCAAAAGCGTTCCATGATTGCGCACTGGCCACTCTTCTGAAAAAAGTCGGACCTGAGCATGTCGATGTCGCAGACACGTACCAAAACCTGGGAAATGTGCACTTTGACCTGGGTGAACTGAGTCACGCCAAAGAGTTTTATGATCGCGCACTGGCCATTCTTCTGAAAAAACTCGAACCTGAGCATGTTGCTTTCGCAAAAACGTACAACAACCTGGGGAATGTGCACCAGAACCTGGGTGAACTGGGTCAGGCAAAAGAGTTTTATGATCACGCACTGGCCATTCGTCTGAAAAAGCTCGGACCTGAGCATGTCGATGTCGCAAGCACGTACCAAAACCTGGGAAATGTGCACCTTGACCTGGGTGAACTAAGACGGGCAAAAGAATGTTATGTTAGAGCACTGGCCCTTCTTCTGAAAAAACTCGGACCTGAGCATGTTGCTGTCGCAAAAACATGCAGCAACCTGGGAAATATGTACCGCAAACTAGGTGAACTGAGTGAAGCCAAAGAGTGTTATGATCTTGCACTGGCCATTCGTCTGAAAAAACTCGGACCTGACCATGTCGATGTCGCACTAATGTACCAAAACCTGGGAAATGTGCATCTTGACTTGATTGAACTGATTCAAGCAAAAGAATTTTATGATAGAGCACTGGCCATTCGTTTGAAAAAACTCGGACCTGAGCACGTCAATGTCGCAAGCACGTACCTTAATTTGGGAAATGTGCACCGCAACCTGGGTGAACTGAGTCAGGCAAAAGAGCTTTATGATCGCGCACTGGCAATTCGTTTGAAAAAACTCGGACCTGACCATGTGGATGTCGCAACCACATACCAAAACCTGGGAAATGTGCACCTTGACCTGGGTGAACTGAGTCAGGCAAAAGAAGTTTATCACAGAGCACTGGCAATTCTTCTGGAAAAACTCGGACCTGAGCATGTTGCTGTCGCAAAAACATACAACAACCTGGGGAATGTGCACCACAACCTGGGTGAACTGGGTCAGGCAAAAGAGTTTTATGATCGCGCACTGGCCATTCTTCTGAAAGAACTCGGACCTGAGCATGTCAATGTGGCAAGCACGTGCCTAAACCTGGGAAAAGTGCACCACAACCTTGGTGAAGTGAGTCAGGCAACAGCGTTATATGATCGCGCACTGGCCATTCTTCTGAAAAAACTCGGACCTGGGCGTGTCGATGTCTCAGATACGTACAAAAAGTTTGTCTATATACCCTTTGGCCTGGATGAACCGATTTCCTCCGAAGAGTTTTATGACTATAAACTGGTCACTCTTCGGAAAATGCTTCACCAGAGCTTGTTTCTCGGGGGTTCACTCGTGGTTTTCAAAAAGTGATTGAGCTCATCCTGGTTTAGTGAATGTAAAACGTTTTAAAAAATCAAAAAACCCTTTGTAGGACTTATTCGAATTAGCAAGTAAGGCTTAGGGTCAATTCGTTTGCCGTATTGGGAACCAGAGTTAGCTTTCTGGTCTGAGATGTGGGAGAAATGCCCATAGTTAAGAGTGATCGAAAAAAAATTCAAAAATCCCCAAGCAAACCTCTGTTTAGTGAGTTGTGAGACAGTTCCGTGACTTGTTGTCCTCGCTTGGGTTTTATGAGGTTTTTAGTGTACACGTATTACGATTCAGATTGTATTATTATTTGAGTGTAAACTATCTACTTTTGAAAAGTTTCTTAGATTGGCCTCTGTTTACTCTAGAAACACACGAAACAGTTGTAGACGTTTAATGTTTCCTTTTGTAAAGTACTCATACGAGTGGGGTTAGTTTATTTTCAGTGTGACAGGGTTTTAGAATATTTTACCTTACGAATTTAAAGACTACTTCTTCCTAATAACAAAATCAGAACAACAAATGTAACTACCGAGTTGTCCAGTTTTTTATCCACTGAACTGCCATGTACATATGCTGTGACTATACGTTTTTCGACTGTGACGATAGGTTTTCGCGCACAAACTGAACTCTCTCGGAAGGAACAACAATAAGGGGGGAAATTAGCTCGGTAGAGACGACTCAGCAGCGAGAACGGAAACTCGTCACGATTTTCTGGTACACGGCGATATACTTCTAGCGAGGTTTTACCGAAGTCAAGGATGGGACAGCGTTTTGGTTCAACAGTAGAGACCTTAAGATACCCCGAAAATCGGTGTACGGGTAACGGGTAGCGTCATGTTTTTCATTTTGCGATGACGTCATCAATCCTATCAGGTAGACTCAGCCGTTTTTCCGGGGTAGACACCAGTTTACCCGTAGAAGAATTACGAGTACGAGAAGGACGAGCTACATGATGAAGAAACTAGTGAGTTTTTAAGACGTTTTGAATTGTTTGACTCCTTGGCAATGTTATTGAAAGTCTGTTGGAATATTTTTTCCAAATTTTAAATTTTAGCGGTAACGAAAGCGCGTCAAACCGGATTGACTTGGGATCTCAAATGCGAGGGTTGAACTCTGAAACGATATCAATTTGTGGCGGTAATTTGGGGGATTTCTGAGAATTTCTCTAACGGTTGTGTATCCCAAAAGCACTAGCATTGACATATATGGCATCGGAGTCAATGCTGAAGTTGATAATCAAAGAAATTGTTTGGTGATGTGCCTTGATGAAATGGCGGGGTTTGCGATAACAAGTGTCTGGTGCTCGCGCTTTCGAAGAAGTAGCATATCATTGGCGTACTTTGTAAAGACAGAACATTCGTAAAGGAGAATTTTGGATGCGTTTGATAGACTTAATTAAACAACTTAGATAAGTTATTTCTGAAGAAAAAGAGCAAACCTTGCCGCCATCTGTGTAAACAATCGTTTCAAATTCCTGCGTGTTAACTCTGGGTATCTTAATCAAATTAGCTACGCACATGAACATTTTACGTGTACAGGTACACTACCCGTACCCGTACACCGATTTCGGGGTATCTTAAGGTCTCTAGTAACTTTTATACTAGCTCAGGCCAACAACTGACATGACATCTAGCGTATTCAGCTTAATAATCCCCGATGTAATCAAGCCTCTAACTTAGTACTTGAATAAGTATAAACTGGTGGTAGGTTCTATTGTTCTGGAAGTCGATTCGCAAAAGACGATCCGCGTTAGAGTGGGGTATACAATGTTGACGAATCGATATGATTAGCACGGGTCGACTCGGCTCGTCACTAGTAAAGTCGATCCGTCTCACCGGAAGACGATTTGCAGAAAAAACACAATTCACACTAAAGCTTTGACGATTTGCAGGGGTGGACTCTACGCGTTCTCTATTTAAGTGGATGTCGATTCTCATAACCACCGTATGTACACTTAGACGTCAGAGGTTAGTAGAAGGTTACTAAATTTTGGTGAATCTACACGATTTTTACGGGTCGAGTCGAGTCGCCTTATGGAAAGTCAGATTAATAGACATGAACCTTTCCCGTTTGACACAGGATGACACATGGTAAGTTTATAGCACACTGAAGACGCTTTAGTTTTTAACGATTCTTGCCCTCCTGCTGGAGATTAAAAATGTCTCGCGTGTAGTAGGCTTTGGTGCGTTTGCATGTTCTATTTTCGTTTTGATTCTCACAGTTTGAGGCGGTTTTTGCGTTTCCTCTTTTCTTTTTTAACCCATGAGAGCTCGTTGCAATCACAGATCACAAGCAAACATGACAAAATTATCTCTCGCTTTACAAGGGATGAATTGAGAAAGCTCGTTTTATAAGCATGCCATATACAAGAACGTAATACACGACTGATGTACCTCGGCTTTATAAGCTTAAGGTCGGAAAAGTCATCGGTTATCACGAGCGCGCGACACAGGCAAGAGTAAAGAGTATTCAGCATACCTCTTTTTTTAGTTGTGGGTACGCAAAGCGTAGAAACGACTATTAGAATGGGGCAGAATATGCAAATGTGTCACTCACTCAGATGTAAACAAATCGATATGTCGACGGCTGACCAATTGATAGCAACCTTCTGAATTTAGACGGGAACGCCTGCATCACATTTCCGAAGTAATGCTGCGACGTTAAGATTTAACTCAACCTTCGAAGGATTTTAATTAAAATGCTCGTCGCAGTTAGCACGTGTGTCACCAAGTCAAAGCTCTTTGAAAGACTAGAGGTGTAACTATGAGTGAAGACGCTTGATGCAATCGCTTTTCCGCGATCATCTTTCACCATCATTTGCATTATTGTGGAATATTCCTCGCCGTTCTCGGGTATATTTTGTTTTCAACAAAGCGTCCAGGAACACAATCGTTCTTAAATACATTTTCAAGCCTTCATTCTTCTCACTGCGAGCCAATGATGCTCAACTGCTGAACGACTTTTGTTGGTCTACATAGGCCGCCCTCGCTCGATATGTCAACGTGGAAGCTTGAAATGTGCAACCTGTTTGAGACTGAGTGTAACAGATATCGGAATGTGTTTTTATACTTGTGATTTCAACTGTGATGTGCTGGACCCAGACAAACCATCCAAGAAGTGTAGAGATTTGGTGGATGTTATGGACATTTTTGCCTTTGAAAACTTGATTTGTTGAGCGACGAGGATAACAAACAATTCGCAAACATTGCTTGTATTAACAGTAAATCGCGGGTTTTACAGGCCGGGGTTTCAAATCCCCACATAAGGGATCACGCACTTGTTTATGCTATTATCCGGGCCTCGTCACCGCAATGTAGATCACAGAAAATCCGTTTTCGCAGCATGAAAAACTCTGATGTTGACAAACTTTATGCTGATTGAAATTATGTGCCTTTCGTTACGGTTACGAATTCCTCTGAGGATGTAGACGACATGTTTGCATTTCAATCCATCTATACATCTTTTCTGGATGAGCACTTGCCTATGAAAACTGTGCGCGTTCGTGGTATTCAGGAACCGTCTTGGGAAAGTGTTTGCTGACATGACTGGTCTGATGACATCTACGCTGCGTCTAAATTCCGAGGAAACATTTGAACGTCTTTACGTCGCAAGGCAATTAAGACATACTTTAGGAAAAGATCCGAGGAAATGAGTCAAGACCCTCGCCAATTTTGGAACACATACCGTCCGCTTTTACCCTCGGGGCGCGGTTTTAAGTCGAATGACATTATTCTTAAAGTGCCCCTGAGACGAAAATTGACCATTTTATTTTAGCCTAAATTGTTTACACAATGTTGAATTGGATCAAGTTAAGACCGTTTTTGCCATTAAAAACTCAAAACAAACCTTCGATGACCAATTTTTACCGCTTCAAAGTCGTCCAAAAATCGTCCGCCATTGCTGAAAACATGTTCCTTTCTTATTTACAATGTTCACCGAGTACTTTCCTTTGTGTAAGGCATTTTGCCAGAGAGTTGTTAAAGGTGGATATTGATCAGCTCATATGTAAAGGTGACAAAATCCGTGGAGGTTCATAGACTTCGCTTTCCGGCCTCGAGATCGCACTGAGGACGGTTTTTCTTGTCCCTTCTCTTCTTGAACGGTAGGCACTGAGCCCGACAGAATTCTTCGCCTAGGTCCTTCAAAGTACACAGATCTCTCGAAAGAGTCCTCCGAGAAGTGTTCGGAGTAGATCACAAATATTTCTGTAGGATTGAAGTTTACTCGGCGAGGTCGCACAAATCGCATCCGTTTTTCCCGCTCTGAACTATTTGCAAGGCTCCGATGCAGAGAAATACCTGCAGCAGAGTCTGCACGATTACTTCAGCTTTGATTAAGCATTGATGCCCATTCATTTTTGTTTAGTTTTTGTAAGAATACAGTAAAGCACTCTGTTATGTTTGCTTGACATTTTGCCATTTGAGATTTTCGCGTTGAGCGTTTGACGTCACTTCCTCTGAGTCTTGCGATCAACTTCCGGAACATGATCAAATAATGGCGGACGCGAAATCGTGAATTTAACGGCCAGAAAAAAGATATTTCTGGTGCTCAGTCTAAACTGAAATTTGGCAGAGTAGGTGAAGGAGACACACTGAACACGAAAATGGAAAAAAATGATGTAAGAAAATTTTGATCTCAGGGGCACTTTAAAGAAGGTGATGAAATAGTTACTGATAGATCACGTATTGCAAACACTTTCAATGACTACTTCATTAACATTGCGAATCACATAGAGGCTCCAAGTGGTGAGGTTTACGGTACAGATTTTGGGGCCCATCCGAGTGTAACGGCTATCAATGGTAAAATCAGTTCTTGTTTTTCGTTTTCACCTGTGAATTCTACCTGCGTCAAGCAATTATTACTAGATATTAATTTCAGCAAGTCACACGGTTATGATAACATTGCGCCCAGATTATTAAAGCTATCGGCTGAGAGTATTGTTGAACCGCCTTGTGTTATTTTCAATGCTGCCATTGTCCAGTTCACGTATCCGGCAGCATGGAAAAGGGGACAGATCACACCAATTCCTAAAGGCTCAGACAGTGAGACTGATAAGACCTTATGTCGACCGGTGACGGTTCTACTGGCTATGAACAATGTCTGAGAAGATTCTTGCATCGCTGTTGACGTTACACTTTCAAGGCATTCTATCGAATTTTTTGTCAGCTTACCGAAAACATCATAGCTGTCACACAACACTGTTGCGCCTTGTGGAGGATTGGAAGAAGAGTCTTGATGATGAAATACTTGTTGCTGTGGTTGCAGTGGATGTATCGAAGGCATTTGATAGTCTTCCCCACTCGCTGCATATGGTTTAAACAACTATAGCTGTGCGTTTTTATAGAACTATCTTACAGGGAAATTTCAGAGGGTGAAGGATGGTGATGAATTGTCCTGCTGGGAGTTAAATCTACGAGGTATGCCTCAGGGTAGTGTCCTTGGACCGCTGTGCTTCAACATCTTTCTCAATGACTTATCATACTTTATTTCGCGTGTGAGCCTCGATGCATATGCTGACGATCAGCAGCTGATGGCACGGACAGTGATCATGCAGCATTTTATGCCAGTCTACTCCACGAGTTAAAGGAGGCAATACAGTGGCTCAGCAAGAATGGCTTGATGGCTAATCCTAGCAAATTTCAACTGTTAGTGTTAGCTAGAACTGAGCAGGACTTTTCTTTCAATATTGCTGGACAACAAATAAAGAAGTGTGATGATGTTGACCTTTTAGGAGTTAATATAGATTCTAAACTCAGTTTTGACAAGCATATCTCATCTATTTGTAGTAAGGTTAACAAAGAATTATCAGTTGTGTAAAGCATAGTTAATAGAGGGGACTGGTTATGAAGGCCGGCATACATCAGAGAGCTAGGTTATTGTTCGAGTTTATCGAAGCCAACCAAGCGTGACCGTGCACACACATTCAAGATGGCGGGGAGCTAGAAGACTTGTGTACGTGGTTTGACCTGTTTCTAAAGCGTCATGATGTAGTTCTGTCCACCGGGACAGTTTATTTAAGTATCTAAACTCGAAATTACAATGCCTGGCGACAACTGTGCCGTGTTTGGTTGCGGTACATGTCGTAGAACGAAAGGAATCGGCATATTTAAGTTGCCCCCGCTGCGAAATGCCGAGTATGAAAAATGGCGCAAGTAATTATAAACCGTGACAAGTATTTATTCGATTCCAGAGAGATGAGGAACATGGGTTTCATGCATAGTCAGTAACAGCTTTTAAATGTAATGATAAAATGTTAATTTTGTATAACATCAATAACAATGTTTCTTGGGAAAAGTATAAGCCAGGTAACTTTTAATGCTCATTAAAATCCTCTGAGTCAATCAATACAATTTTAGCAATATGGTGAAAAGTCATTAAAATTTATATTGGACTAGGACTGCCTGTCATTTTCAGATTCTTTACAAGCTCTGCTTATTTCCTTACGTAGCGCTTTGGATTTCAACTGCTTTGCTTGTACCTTATGCTTCTGTATGATATCCTTTGCGAAAGAAAAGGAGCGGACTCTTACATACAGTTGAATGATGTTATGTAGTACATCTTTGGCAACAGTGCTTTCTGCTGTAAGTTCAGCATCAGACAAAATTAAATGATATGCAGAGACTACATCTATGTCATGGGTAGATCTTGATATAATGTCAGTACAATCAAGCTTTCTTATGTCAGCCTTTGAAGTTATATCCCTAAAATAGTGCTCAGCTCTTTCAAAAATTGTTTGGGTATTCTTTGTTATTGTCCATAAGCCTCCACGATTTAAAGATGAAGTTAGCCTCTGGCTATCTGAAACAGCCTGGTCATCTGACTTTCCAGCCTTAAGAATTGAGATTGCTTGCTCAATTTCCGGTGATTTTTTACTATTTGCCAGTTTGTTATGAAGTTTATGTAGAACATATCCTCCTATGTACTGTAGTCCTTTCTCCTTGCTGCCAGCCAATATAAAATCTACCACTTTGGTAGATAGCAATGTCGCAGCATCCCTAGACAACCCCTCAAAATAAATTACTGCATTTGAGACTACTGCAGAGTAGAAGGAAGTATAGAATCGTTCCGCGTTGCCAGACTTGACCAAGCGACCATACATGTTTTTGATTTCGCTTATACCTCCATTTGCTGGATTTGTTTGGTAGGTGTTTATTTCCTCTCTAATCGAACTTGGATACAATTTCTATCCAACTATTTTGGCTTTTGCTTTGTGGATGATTTCACAATAAATCTCGAAGGTGAA